AAATATTTATATAATATTCATATTATAATATTTAATATAATTTAAGACAAAGAAAACAGTTTCTTGCATTCAGGAACCTGGAACAGTCAAATAGTTGTCAGAAATGGCCTATAATTTTAACTGATCTGTAAAATAATTGCACATTTATTTTTGTGCTTGACAAACTTGAAATAAACTAATCATGGCAGGTCTAACATGATTTTGTTTGGCTTTTTGGTCCAAAGATGTCCTGAAATGTATTATAGTGGCATTCTTGACAGCCCATTTCTAAATTCAGAGTTCACGCCATCGTGAATATCATACATGATCAAAGAATCTGAACTATTTCTACTAATATTCCTGCAGAAAACGCTGAAACAAGTCAAGCAGTAAAGCTGTGTACGTAAACACTAATTTGTTCCATAGATGAAACAAATATTTCCTGCTGCACAGGAAGTGGTGAGATGTAATTCTGTTGATTTGTTTAAAAAAGGAAGAAATGAGTAGTTATTGCATGACAACTGGTCGCTACCGGAAAGAGAGCCTTCCACAGAGACAAAAACAGTCTGAGTGACAGTTGTTAAGCAGAGAGAACAGCCACCTCAGAAATACAGTGTGGTCACCATTGGTTCCTGTTTGCAGTGAAGCATCTCAGTCAAGTGTTAGTGAATAGTTTTGCAGTTATAAGTTTTTAGGCCTTGACTAATTGTTTATTTATTTATTTATTTTTTTTATTTTAGTTTTACCGCTGTGGGAATGAGCAGAAGCAGTGAGATGACATCTTCCAGCTCCAACATCTTCATCATCTTCACAATTTTTCTGAGCTTCATTTTCCACTCAAGCCAAGGTAGGACTCTTCATTCCACCATTTACAGGAAACAGGACCTTACACAGCAGTTTATTTTATTGTAACCTTTTAATTCTTAATTTTATGTTTTATTATGATAATATAACCAATAAAAATGATTCACCTAATGATCCAAAGAAATTCATTTGATCAGCCATTTGTTGACTTTTCCACATTTGTTGTTGTAAGAGAATTGGTAGAGATTTGTGTTTCTGACATGCATCAGCCACAGTCAGTATTTTAAAACACTGAATGAAGATGAAATCTTGACAATATTCACTCTAGTAAAGGAAAGGACTGAAAACATTTACCTGTCCTTGGTGTCTTAAACAGGCTGTATCTTAAATTAAATGAAAACCTGACGAGATGCTTGTGTTGAAGCCTGATTAGGTTTTTCGAAGAGAAGCTGAATCCTTTTCATTCAACAGATTTTGAAGTGATTCAGCCTCCGAATCGGATGGTAAACACAGACGGAGTAGCCTTGATCAGCTGTGAACACACTGCAAACGTCAGCTCTGTTGAAGATGTTCGACTCAGCAGCATCTCACAGTATGTATCCTGCTGGTAGGATGTTAAAATACACGAATTAAGGGGGCTGATGCTTTTCTAATCTGAGGTCTATATTGCTTCTTATTGTACTTATCTCCAGTTTTTCCTCTATAGTGAACATGTTACAAAAACAGCAACTGCTGCTGCCCTCAGTTGTAGCATGAAATGCTTTAACAATGCCAATAAGAAGCCAATAGATGCCATAGATCAAGTCAAATCAAGATTTTTATTTGCCATTTATGCATAAACAGACAGTCTAGGCATATAGGAATTCTTGTGCAGCTCTCCTTTGGAGTCAGGTAAGAAGTCAAAAGCTAGAAGGAACACTTAGTCTTAAAGTCAATAATTACAGAGAGCGACAAAGTATTAAAACTGCAATACACACAAAATAGGGATAATAGTATTTCCCACAGTGAACTTCAAACATCGCACTTAGTAATTCACATGGTGAAGGTGGATATGGCATTTTACTTGGTGAGGTAGTGAGGGGTTATTGCACATGTTTCTCACATTTTCGTATTTGCCATCAGTCTTACTGTGACAGTGACAAAGCTGTTGTAAAGTCTTGTTCTGTGTGTGATGATACTGTCCACCCTGATGAACGGGTACAGGAAACAACCAACAAAAGACCAGAACGAAGAAACTATTCAGATTACAGGTCTCTGTTTCACTGCTGGAGTCACACATTATACATGATGAACAAGTGAACGATAGGTCGACTGCATGACAACCTCGACCACAAGGCAAAAAAAGTGAGAAAAATAAACTAGAAACATTGTTTGTTGCTTTCTGAGTCAATCTTTCTAACCTCAGCAGCAGCCTTGCTATGACCAGAGAAGCCTTAGTTACATCCAACCATCCATTATCTACACAGCTTATCCTAACGAGGGCTGGAGCCAATCCCAGCCGACACAGGGTGAGAGGCGGGGGCCACCCTGGACAGGTCAGCAGTCTATCACAGGGCTGACAGAGACAGACAACCACACACACCCACATTCACCCCTACAGACAAGTGCACCTGTAGCAGAGGGACTAACCATATTTAATGGATGTACAGCAACAATGAACCAACTATGAATATCCTCCCCAGCAGACTGGAACTGAGCTCCACTAAAGGAACAACTACAAGTTAACAGAACGTTTCCCATTCCCACAAGCACACTGGGCCTTCTTTGGTGCCAGATATTAGAAGATTAATCATACTGTTGGTGATGCTAATAGTCTTAACCCCACTGGAACTTTTGCCACAGTAAAGAGCATATAAATATTTATTTTTCTGACTGTGTGAATTGATGACTCAGGGATGTCACCTGAACTGAATCTGATCCTGTAGCAGCTCATCTCACAGTCGGTGCAGTTGTAAAATGAGTATGAGGCCTTTGTTGTGTGATGTAGCACCTTTTGTTGCAGTGTGATTCCTCCACAGAGAAAACAGTGATGTTTAGCTGCTGTACACAGTCAAAGCATAAAATCAGCAACACCATATATTTGTGTTCCAGTCATGTGACCTCTATTTGGGAAATTATCCCGCCATTATAATGAATAATACTGTTCTGCATAGGAACCACTCCTGCTGTAAACATGGAGAAATATAGATATATTTGTTTTTACACATTTTGGATTTTTAACAATGTTCAAATATTGGGGATTACAAATGATAGCAGGACATGTATACCAGTCAATTGTTAATTTATTACTTGTCAATTCAGAACTGTAGAAATTGCTAATGTGAACTGAAAGGACCACACATTGTTTAGCCACACATTAGACATTTTTGAGGTCTTTTTATGTTTTTTTTGGATCCACTGAATGTATGGGGGATGACACATGTCCATAAACCCGGCTGCTTCAGAACAGGCATATTTTGGATCACCAGTGAAGCTATTGACACCATAAATCCTGTCCTGGTACACCACTCCTCCACCTGAGTCACCCTGTAAGACCAAAGCATTTAGATTGGTTATATTACATTTTTTTCATTCTTTTTAAAAAACTGATTCCTAAACTGGTCACAACTTCTAATGACTATACAAAACAAAGTTAGGTCGGAATCCAGGATCACTCACATGACATACATCCACTCCAGGAGTCTGGCCACAGAACCAGTGCTGATAGCTCATGGTTTGGTAAAACTGTGGGCCGTTTTGCTGTAAAACGTTCCTGAGCCCCTGACAGTCGATAGTTTTGATGTTTGCACACTGGAGAGTGTTTGAGCTACCAGGTTCTAGACAGAACAGAAAAAAGTGTTCTTTTACTACAACACTAAAAACTTAATCATTATCCGTTAGGTCAGAGTGAAAATGATTCCACCAACAAGTAAAAAAAACTCTGCTGCACTTTACACATAGAAATTCGATTTGTTTGAATTATTTATAATGTTATGAAATGCACCATCTTTACATTAGGCTACTTATCCATCCATCCATCCATTTTCCTTTGCTCATCCGGAACCGGGTTGTGGGGCAGCAGTCTAAGCAAAGATGCCCAGACTTCCCTCTC